TGTGGTCAGGCGGAAGAGCGGGCCTGATGGCCCGAGCCTCGCCATATTAATAAAGGCATATTATTATCCTCATCCCTTATTTACACTCACTGTCAGTCAGATGCATTACACTGACACACTTTTTGGAGACCAGTGAGAAGCTTGGAGCTTGTCCAAGATGCAGCGGTGCCCTGTTGGTTGGAGATACGTGGTTGGGTAAACTCCCGTTAGCTAACGGTTGCACATCACAGGATATCACCAACCACCTGGGGATGATCACTGCCTCCTCCCCAGGAAAACACAAACACTATACTTACGAGACTAATTACCTTAGCAGTTGACACGCCTGGAATCACTAATCAATGAATAAGTAATTGAATTTCCAAACTCAATTGCTGAAAGTGAGGAGTAGAGTGGTCATTTTGACGGGCAAAACCACTGCCTGTTTGTATTACTCCTGCAATGTTTCTGTCGAATAGCAAATAAAATACAGTGTAACCTCTCATGAAACTCAGTGGTCACTCGTATGGTATCAGAGGAAATGGCCGTTAAAAAAGGTGATCGCTTAATGGAGATAATGAAAATATAGAATCAAGCATATTTTTTCTATTAGCAATGACGTTACCACGCATTGCTTTTTAACATGTTTGTATTTGAACTTAAACTATTTAATCCTAGCATCACTTTTCTTTGGACAATACAGGCTCTTTCTTCCCATCTGTGGGCTTGATCCTTAAATAGACCTGAAGCTACAGTTGATTAAATTCATGTACCCTGAGTAAATTACACTCATGAAAATCACTTATTGACATCTGACAACCAGATTAATCACCTCGCAAGAAAAGCAGCCCTGGATATCACTCATGTAGGTAAATTAACATATTTCAACATAAGAAGACATGGATTAATAAACATTAATTTCCATGAATCTGCTTCTTATAGTGTTTCATATCAAATTCACAAATTTGTTGTGACCATTTAAAACGTGGTAATCTTTGAAATGTGTCTGTGAACCCAGCAGACTTCTTAAAAAGATGGAATATTTACACCTGCTTTGAGGGAACTAAGAACTAGAAAACTAATTTGTATTGTTGAATGAAGTGCAGATTTGATTTTTCTGCATTGCTAACAAAATAGTAACTCACTCCCGGCTCTACTCCAACCACTACAAGCAAAACAGTGCTCAACAAAATGTGTGCATTGTGAAGCTACATTTATGTCCAAAAGCAAAAGGAGGAGCTATTTCAGCATTTACTCTGGATCAGGAAAACTGAACAAAAACCTGACCAACATGGGGGGTCATTGATACAGAATTGAGTGATATTGGTATTGGGAATTGATTGCTTAATCACGATGGCCTTACCAGATTTCACTGTACAGTTATTACTTGGTTATTTTTTTTGTATGACATGTGTAAATGTTACACTGCAAGATATCTATCAATTGTCAATTAATCTGCTGAAATAAGAAAGAAAAGGAAGATTGAGTTTTCATTTGCTGCCTGCGTATCCACGTGCAGATCCATGGGGAGGAAAATGAGACAAATCC